AAAGTTGCCTTATTGGCTGCCAAAACTGTGTGAAGATTTGCTGGTGAATGGATGGCATCAAATGTGTCTCTAAGGGCCTGGGTACCAGTATCAACCAGCAGACGACACAAGCGAGCGTAGTTGGTTGTCCCCTTTGTGGATGAAACTGTCGGTGTTGCGATAGCCATGGACTGTCTGAGGCAGAAAAAGAATCCTTTTAACCCTTTGACCCTTAAGAGTATCTAATTTCTCCTTACAATATCACCCGTGAATCACACTTTAAGGTCAGGAGAAAACAGGAAATGTTATTATGCAACAACAAAAGAACCTTTTGAATGTGTTAACACATTTTCCTTGTCAGCACCCTAAGAAATATAAAGAGAAAAGCATGGAGAATATGCATATTGTTTTCAGCGTCGTCATGTTGGTTCTCATGTTCAGAGCTGTCCGACTGCTTCACCTGAAGTCAGTTTTGTGCGCAGTGAAATCAGGAAAAGCCGCTTGAAAAAAATCATCTGCACCCATCTTTATTCTTTCATACTTGGTACAATTATTTTACTCAGGCATAATACTGAACAGAGTGTCGGGATATGTGAAGCGTGAATTTTTCATAAATGAGATCGTAATTCGTGAATTTATAAATGAGCGCGAAGCGTGATTTGCCACCTGAAATATACGTGACAAATGAATTTTTTTTCATTCCGTCTAAACCTCAAGATTTCCTCGAAACCTTGTCTACACAAGAAGAAAGATTTGACGTTATTCCTTTTATATACGTGACGCGTGAATTTTCTACAATTCGTGCGTGGAACGGGATCAGCCCCCCTCCCACATTTGCTACTTTCTGTCTTCCCCTTTTGCAACTTTCTGTCACAAGTTCCTTCACGTTCTAACCGATCTAAAAATAGCTATCATGATTATTTGGATAGTGTAGCACGAATTAATTGCCTATCATGACTTATGCTAACCAAAAGAGAGCAGTGATCTTTGCAAATTTGTTTTGCCCAAACATCGAACCTATGGTAATTATAAAGTACGACAAGATCGATCATAGAATTGGTTTTCTGATTTATGCATGTTTATGTTCAAACCGTAGAACGACCAGTGATTGTTCTTAGTACCATGATCGATTATCAGATACAAGTAACCCGTACACCTTTTGAATATGCTTTATCTATTTTGGTTTTTTCTGTAAATGGTAACTGGGTTCCCTGAGATCTTTGAAGGGAACTTCTCATCAGCCGCTTCGGATTATTACCCTTTTGGCAAACTAATTTGAATAATCTGAAGACGATTTACAACGCAGTAATTCCTGCTGATGGATCACTCAACGAGATGTAAATGTCCATCGTACATAAAGTATGAGAAAGACAAACCCAAAGAATACAGGACTGAAATGTTGAAAAAAAAAAAAAAGTTAAAAGAACTGAAAATTGGCATAATCAAAGACAAACCTAGGAATCCCAAGCGACAATCAGATAAAATCACGGTAAGCTCTCCACAAACAGGAAGCCGTTCGAGGTTAATTATTGTCGTTGATGGAGGTTTGTCTTTTACCGCTGATAGCAGGATTCAGGAAAGCCAATTCAATCGGTAAATGGCAACGGGTTTTCGCTAAAGAGACTGACAAATTCTTATTCTTTTGAATAAGAATCTAAAGATCTTTCATCACCATTTTCTCCGTCATTTGTGTGGTCACAATATCAAATTATGTAGTAGTTCGCTGATTGGTTAGTGAGTGCTCTCCATGCTGTAAGAGTCGTCTTTACTTTGTCACGCAAGCAAATTTGATCGGAGATACTAAGAAAACGAAGGTATTTTGCATTCAATTTCGATTAAAGTTGTTATTGAGAACCTTGGGCCTATACTGCAACTCCAGATTGCAATTATCAATAGTACTGGAGGGATCGGCGAAAACTTGGATTTTTAAAACATTTTGACATCAATTTTAGAGAAGTTTAAGGCCACATTCGAACTTTTATCAGTTTTTACTAAAATGCAACTGAAGGGATAGAAGGACAACATTCAGCAATTATAAAAAAAATGGGTTTCGTCAATTTGTTAACTCGATGGTAACGTATGGGGAAAATGGCCGCTCAATTTTCACTTCCATTTTCACGTTTAAGTATTAAACGAAAGGCCGGGAAATGTTTGGGTCAAAATATTTCGCTGGTCAAAACAAGTCACTTTCGCACCCACTTAAGGAGGCTCGAAAGGGTTTTCCACAATTAACAGCAAGTGCCAATCAGTAAAAGATATCAGGACTGTCAAACTTATCATCGGGATAATGACTTGACATATCCTTAACACTATGTTAGGGCAATCTTGTTAAGGGGGTTCGTCAGGTATCATCTGTTGCCATGGCAACAGTACAGTAGTACTAAAAGACCTTCTAAAACTCAGTTTTTGAAAGATATCTCAAAAACCAAGTCGGTGACCTACTAATTTATTCTTGTTTTTCTCGTTGCCATGTTCCCACCAATAACGTAGCTCCATTTTCTGCCTTTAAAAGCACACACAACCCAGAATTCCTGTATTCGCTCCGACGAAGGGCTAACGCTCGAAACGTCAGCTTTTGTAATCGTTACGGTGGCCAATTTACCATTTCAATTTTGTTGATATATCCAAATTATTTCGTTACCCCCACCGACGCAGCCCCAAGCAGTTTCTTTGGAAACTATCAGCTTTTAACATTTTCTTTACTTATGGTGCAGATACGAATTTATCTATCACAATTAATAATAGTCAGCCGTACAGAGCAGCTCAACACCAAATTTGAGGTTTGGGAGGTTCAGAGGAGAACAATGATTCAGTCTCATAGCTGTGACTGTGGCATATGAACGGTCTATTGATCAAATCATATCAACATAATGGTGAACTCGTGGTTATAGTGTGCATAATATGATTAGAATATACAGTGCAGTCTCAAATAAGTAAGTTCTTGAGAGGGAATCGTCAGTAGTTCAAATTTCGATTGATGGGTCATTCCGTGGTACATGGCTAAACAAAATTAGCTTTAGTTTCCAGGAGGAGTGGGTGCACCTATGCCAGGGTTAGACGGTGGTTGCGTTTGATATGGAGAGTAGTGTCCATTACTGCTGGAAATCTGTGGTGTGGGCGCCTGACACCAGACAGCGGTAATGAGTCAGGGGGAGACGATCGAGCCTTCTTGGCTGACTGTGGACCTCTGAAAATCGTCATCTTTTACTTCTCGTTTAACTGGAATAGGCTTCCACTGACTGTTTCGATCAATTGTTACTTCTTCCACATCAGTGCTGAAATCGATAAAAAGGATAACAAAAGGAGTCGCTACGGTTAATGTGGACTCGTATCAATACCATTAGTGCCTAGAGGATTTTTTTCAAATTCTTCAAAACGATAAAGGATATTCTTCCAGTTAGTAAATCCATAATGTTCGAATTTACGGTCTGTGTAAAAACTGTGCGCATTTTCGATCTATTTTTAGTAAAATGGTAACTATAGTAACCACCTGGAGACTGTAAGGATGTCCCACATGTAACGTTCCACCTCAAGTCCTTCAAGAAGTGCAATTTTGCTATAAAATGAAATAAGTACGCTTAGTTTAAGTTGAGTTCACTAAGACAAATAGGAACGTCAAAGGTGGAAGAAAAACATCAAGCGGTTAAAATACTATTGAAACTGCCTTACGACTTCTCAGGAGCTATAACCTCGAGGATTTCACCTGTACACGACAACAACAAAGATAAATGTTGATGCACTCACCTACACACTGGACTTTTCCAACTTTCTCTTTTGGAGTTGAGTTTTAAGTAAGATTCTAAGTCGAAGCACTATCGAAAAAAACACATTGGAGTTTTGTATTCAGTAAACTGGACAACATTATGTTAACTAACTTTATGGGAAGTCACTGTCAGACATCCCAAGTCGTAGAAACCAGTAACCATCATGTCTAACTTCAATTTTGCTTTGGTTTGAAGGTGTTTGTAATCATGCGGTGTTACATATGATATGCCCGGATAAATTCCTAGTGGTAATTCGATCTGCCTTGAGCAACATTTGCAATCGGATGGGTTTCAGCAGGATATTAAGCGTTACCCTAGCATCGTGTAAAGTGCATACTTGAATATGTTTACAATCATGGCCTCTGCCTGGTAATGTTATTCTTCTGGATGTGATCGGACATTTAAGTGATACTTTGATAGCTGTTTGTTCCACACTTTCATCTGTGCCGCCAGCAGTACACGAACTGAACGGGAAAGTTGTTTTAACTGTGTGGATCAAAGAAAATGATATTTGAATCAGAAATGAATACGACTGTGCTACTTGACTGAGAATTCAAAACTTGATGCAAGTCTTCTAGCTCCGGAAAACAGTTACCAGCTCTACAAAACAAACATTTGTTATTTATTATTATTATTATTTATTTATTTATTTGTTTATTTGCTATTTTTTAATTCATGATACACCTGCAGAAATAAAAGGAATTACATATACATTAATATAATATAACTGAAGATTTACCATGTGGCAAGGAAACCCGTAGGGAGACCAAGAGGCTTATCCGAGCTACAGGCTCCTTATATTTTACAAAAGAGAGGTATCAGTGTTTTGGCGTGAATTAGGTACAAAATATTTTAGGTAAGGAAAGAACACACCCACACATATAAAACAACGACAACAATAGCTGGCACTCAAACATATACTTAAGCAGCTTCATAAAAGTGAGGAAGAGTAAGAAGAGATTCAACTTAAGAGTAATGTTGGCAATTTAGACTTTAACAGGGAAAGTCAGGTGCAACAGGTAGTGTTTGCAGTACTCACTTTTTGTGATACAATGTTCTGTTGGAAGAAGTCGTTTACGTAACAAGCACTGTAAACGGAGTTGACTAAGGGTCTGTGGACCAACTGAAAGACGAAGACGTGGGACTAAAAGGGAAAAACACCAACATAAGTTTCGCTAACGATAAGTAAGTAGGCAACGTTTATTAATGTAGTCAAACAATGTTGAAGATATACAAATGAATAAAGGCTGATAGTTTCGAAAGAAACTGTTTGGGGCTGCGTCGGTGGGGTTAACGAAATAATTTGGATATATCAACAAAGTTGAAATGGTAAATTGGCCACCGTAACGATTACAAAAGCTGACGTTTCGAGCGTTAGCCCTTCGTCGGAGCGAATAGAGGAATTGTGGGTTGTGTGTGCTTTTAAAGGCAGAAAATGGAGCTACGTTATTGGTGGGAACATGGCAACGAGAAAAACACGAATAAATTAGTGGAATGAAAAGCGTTCGTTGATCCCTGTGGGATTTAGACTGCCGGTTTGAAAGATGAGCTTTTGTTCAAGAGTTTTACGGCTTTCCGTGCTACCTAAGTGTAAGGAAAGACCGCAGATTGCCATATGTTGCTTAGAATGATTAGGTAAATTAAAATGTCTAGCGACTGGTTTCGATGTGTCCTTGTCATTCCTTTCCACGTCTCGAAGGTGTTCTCGGAATCGGTCACCTAGTCTTCTGCCTGTTTCGCCGATGTATATCTTTTTGCAATAAGTGCAAGTTATGCAATAGATTACATTGGCGGAGGTGCACGTGAAGTGATCGGTGAT